GGTTGGATATGGCGGCCCACCGGATGGCTCTACAAAATGGGTGCTCTCGACTTTGCCGGCTCTGCCTGCGTTCATCTCATTGGTCAGTATTAAGTTAATACTATTAACCAATTAAATAGTTACAAATGTGAGATTTAATATGGTGACACAACAAATTTAAATATATAACCAATGGATCGATAGGTGGTATTAGCGCTCTGGTGGCCGCGTATATGCTTAAGCCTCGACTCAAACGGTACGAGAAGGGGACGGATCCGTTGCCGATGGGAAACCCAGTGAACGCAGTGGTCGGCACATTCGCCCTGTGGTGGGGTTGGCTGGGCTTCAACTGCGGCTCCACTTTCGGCGTGAGTCATCACAAATGGCAGTTCGCTGAGAGGGCGGCCGTCACGACACTCAACGGCTCGTTCGCCGGCGGACTCATTGCACTCATGTATTGCTTCATTACGAACGGCAGGGCAGAAGTCAGTCCTGTCCTTAACGGCATACTCGCCGGTCTGTCATACTGTTGTCAAAACAGCAATAATTAAATAATTTGTATTACAATTAATGGCCAAAAAACAATTGTAATGATAGGTTTGGTAGCGGTGACGAGTGGCGCCGGTTACTTCGAGCCGTACGACTCGTTCGTCATCGGAGCCCTCGGATGTGTGGCCAACACATTGATCGCCCCATTCCTGGACAGTCTACGAATCGACGACCCGGTGGGCGCTGTGGCCGTTCACGCCGGTGGAGGAATGGTAGGGGCTGACAAATATAAAATTTTATATTAAAAATTACCCCACGTTTGACAGGTGGGCATTTTATGCGTGGGACTGTTCGCTGTGGCCGAGCCGTTCATCATAGAAAACGGTGGCCTAACCCGAGGCCAGTCAGGTCTGTTCAAAGGCGGCGGTTTCCGTCTGCTGGGCGTCCAGTGTTTGGCTGCCCTGAGTGTGAGTCTGTGGAGTGGTATCACAACGTGGATACTGTTGGCCGCAATCGACAAAATGATTCCCATCCGGATGTGCATCGAGGAGGAGATACTCGGCGCCGACATCTGGATCCACAACATTAA